ATGAATAACAAAAATATGAGGGACTTAATTCTCACCCAACAATCAAGCTAACAAGTTAAATAATGTATTCATCAAGAAAAAAACTCATATTAAATAGTATAAAAGCAAAAATCACAAGGGCTTTAAAGGTTGTAATGTGTCTTGGGTAACGAACAATTGTTTTTCTCAAGGTAAACGAAACAAAAACTTGTCTAATCAAATGAGAGTGATCACATCTCACAATCTCAAGCACTCACAAATTCCAATCACCCTTTTCTCTTTTTAAAATTGTTACACCATTCCACACAACTTATTAGCACAACATTATTCTTTTTTTTTTCTTTTTTCAATTGTTTTTTTCTTTTTTTCTTTTTCTCTTTCACTTTTTTCTTTTCTTTCTTTCTCAAACTTTTTCTTTTTCTCAACCTCTTAATAACCAACATCTTCTCCCCAACTTGAATACAACCATACATAGTGACATGAATGCTCCCAAACTTATTAGGCAAGGGTAAAAAATTCAAATAACAAGTCATGATTATAGTTCAAGAAAAAGTATTAGAATCCGTACAAAAATGAACTTAACACCAACATGGATTTTAACAAAGGTTCAAATGGGGTAAACAAATTCTCACTCACTTATAAGGTAGATTGACTATTTGGTCAAGTGGTTATGCTTAAAATCAAACAAAATGGCTTGTTCATTTTAGTGCTATCATACAAATAAACACAAATACAAGATTAAACATAATAAAACCGAGTTAAATAAGAATGTTGGTCTCCAACTTATAGTAAACAATGGAAAGCTTCTCAGAAAAAGAGTTTTGTTCTAAAGTGATTCAAAACTGAACAATATGGAAAAAGAATGAAAGACATGAAAATTTTAAAAATGAAAAGTCTTTTAATCATGATATGTTCTAGAAAACGATAAACGAGTACCTTGCAAAGTACCAACTTCAAACAATATCATTACCATACATTCACAAGTTGAAACGATCAAATTTGGAAAATCACAAAATGCATCCTCAAGCTAATCAAAAACAAACTTGAGAGCAAACACAAAATTTTATTCTAACAACCTAATAAAATTGAATTAAAACTAACTAAACACAAAGACCAAAATTGGTGAAAGTGGATCGAAAATGAGAGATTTTTCTTTGCAAAGCAAGGCACACTAAATGCCCTTTACACGCGCTAAGCGCGGGCAAGAAAACTTCGTTTTTTAAAATTGGTTCTTTCTCTCACTCACTCCATCAATTGCCACTTTATATTAACTATACTATTAAATAGAAAACTGTACAAACTCAAAAATTATTGGGTTTCCTCTCAACAAGCACTTGTTTCACGTCGTTAACTCGACGCCTTATTTACGTACAAGCTCCTCCATGTTGCTTCGTTCACCGGTAGATACCAAATAAAATCTGCAACACTTGAGAAAACGTAAACTAACAACAAAAATATGTACACACACATAAACATGATGGAAAAAACATATATACAATCACTTATGGAAAACAACTATAAACAAGTATATACAAAACTTAAAAACATAAAAACTATCGAAATACAATTCAATATCAAAACCAATCCTCGACAACGACGCCATTTTGTTGGAGCAGTAAAGCGGCAAGCAAAAAATATTTTTGAAAGAATTCCCTCTGATATTTATATTGTCTCCACAGGGATTAGTGCGGGGGAAAGAATGTCGTTCGACAATCCCCACGTCTCTAAGCTTGAGTTTGAATGATTTTAAAGAGTAAGATGCAAAAGAAAAAGCATAAAACAAGAAAACAAATACATTCTTAAAACATGAGAAAACTTGTCAGGAGTTGTATTTTTTTCTACCTATCAAGTACTAAAAAATATATGGACCAAATACACGCAACCTAGATCACTCGTCAAAACCCCCCACGTATCGCTCACAAACAGAGGTTATGTCTAACGCAAAGTTTGGGAGATCAACCGCATTTTCTCGAAAGTGATGTCTCACGCGACTAAACAACACAGAGTATTAAGATCCGACACACACACATGAATATTAGACCGCTTCCCACAACCAATAGACGTTCATCTTAGACCGAGTTCAAAAAGTATATGTGTATAACGATCCAAACCCATTGAGATAGATAGTAAATCAAAGATGACATCAATTAAGAGTTGTAAAAGATATTTTATACAAAGATCCATAAATATACATACAATTAAGATAAACTTACATACAAAACCTCAACAAATAGAGGGTACAAAGAGAAGAGATAAGAAGAACACAAATCTCACGGCTTGTCAACTCCGATTGAAGTGGATTCGACTCTAGATAATCAAAATGCACACTCTAATGTTGTTTCTAAGCTACTCTACTCACAAAATATTTTTGATGAAGTTAAAGTTAAAAGTTCCCAACAGCATAACCTAAAAAATGCTAAAAAGTGACTTAAAGAGGGGTTGAAATGACGAGAACCACACTATGAGGGCGCTTAGCGACATCAGCAAAATCACAATTCTTATTTTGTTTATAACTTTCGAACCGTAACTCCGATTGACGCACGGTCAGAAGTGTTGGAAAGCTTATTCAATGCTCTATATAATAATGACAAAATATCCTTGCTTGAATATCTACAAAAATGAGATAAACTAAAATTAGAAAGAATCAAATTTATTACAATCGCGATAAGCGCGATCTCACTTAAAATACCCTTAATCCGCCTTAAAGCGCGCCAAGTGCGGTCCTGCTCACGCTAAGTGCGGTCAAGGGTCATTAGCTACTGCCTCTTCATAAAGAACGTGTTAAACCTGTGCTGAAAAATGCGCTAAGCGCGAATGCCAACAATTTGTTGGTCAAAACTGCATTTTGAAGCATCTTTCTTGACTCAAACGACTCCATACTTCAACCATACCTATAAAAACAGATGAAAAACTGCCAAAACCAACAATATGTACACAAAAATGCATATTACACACTATAATGTAAACTATACAAAATATACACAAAAAATGGGAGATTATTAATGAAAAACAAACGAATTAAGCCAATAGGTGTCAATTATTCACACTCAAAATCAGTATGTTTTAGCACTTATCAATAGTTTGTGGAGCTATGACCTCATCCCTCGTCTTGCGTGGTTTGCTGTTTGGAGCATGAGTAGAATTGTTGAAATGGCTTGTAATGAATGTTGCCATATTTTGATATCATGAGGTTCTGTAATTTGCTCAACATTTGACATATAAGTATTCCCTTGTTGTCCTTTAATGTTATCATGTGGTAACTGAAAATTACTTTTTGTCATTAGATTTTTTTGATACGATTCTGTACAGAAATTCTGCACTCTTCGTAAAAGGCCTGTTTATAATCTTGTTGTGTTCTCGCGTGATACATTTTCTCTCTCTCTCTCTCTCTCTCTCTCTCTCTCTCTCTCTCTCTCTCTCTCTCTCTCTCTCTCTCTCTCTCTCTCTCTCTCTCTCTCTCTCTCTCTCTCTCTCTCTCTCTCTCTCTCTCAATTCAGCGTGATTTTTTGTGAGACACTATCCCATTATTTCCCTCTCCAAATTCTAAACTACTAGATTTGAGATATCATTCTCCAAAATAGCAAATCTCGATCTCATTGATCTTACTCTAACATTAACTACCACTAGAACATTCATTTGACCGCTAGAGGTGAGAAACAAGCATGCTCCCCATGCAAAAAACCCAAAAAAAATATGGCGGAGTAAGACATACATAATTGAGGGTGCGAGTCGATAACTTTGGTCCACCAAAAAAAATGAGGGAGGGGAAGCAAGCCCAGGAGCATTGCATATTTTAAATTAAAAAAATACTAAAATTGATGTTAATGATTGCACCTGCAAAAACTTAAAAAAAAAGGACAAACTAGACCCTCGAACACTAGATATTTTAAATTTATAAATACACAAATTTGTATTAATGCTCGTATCCTGCAAAAATTTGTGTTAATACTCGTGCACACAAAAACCTAAAACAAAATTTGTGTTAATAAAATATATTTTTAGTTATTTTTGCATTACATATATTTTGAGTTTAATTGGTATACAGTGACTGTGTAAAATAATTTTATACTGTTATTTAATAGAAATTTATCAATTTACCATGTTATATCTGTATTTTAAAATTTACAATATAATATAGTAGTGATTGATTGACAATATAAAATTATTGTATCCTTTGAATCAGTACATATCAATTAAATTCATATATTTTTAGTTATTTTTTACCTATTAAACTCTATTTAATTTCCACTTTAGAACTCATAATAAATTGCACCGACTATGCATATAGATCAATCATACAAATTGATAATGTATACATAACGTTGAGTCACATATAATATACATAACTTACCCATCAACATCTTTATCATAATAAATTCTTTATTAAAAATAAACTACCTAGAAATTTATCAAAATGTTAACTTATTATTCCATCAGTTTTAATTTTAAAATACTACCATTTTAGTAAAGTAAATTTGTTTTAAAATAAATATTATTCTTATTTTTCAATATAAAAAATAATTATTATTTATTCAATTATTTTTTTAATTATTAGTATATAAACTATTTTGCATATATTTATAAGTTTAATTTAGTAAAAATACAATATTTTATAATAATATTATTATATTTTTACTCTATGTGCAGACAATCATTTTAAAATGGAAAAAATGTTAAAATTAACAATTTAAAAGATTCATTTATTGAACATTTCATATATATATATATATATATATATATATATATATATATATATATATATATATATATATATATATATATATATATATATATATATATATATATCTATATATATATATATATATATATATATATATATATATATATATATATATATATATATATATATATATATATATATATATATATATATACATTACCACCACCATTCTATCTTCGTCACTACCATTCGAATCAGAACCTTCACACCTATCGTCATCATCGTCACGTTCTTTCTTCCTTTCTTCCTTTCTTCACTCTCACGAGGAATCGAATCAACAATGGCTTCACCTTCTTCAACACGATTAGATCTCGACGGAAACCCAATCAAACCGCTAACAATCTGCATGATCGGCGCCGGGGGTTTCATCGGTTCTCATCTCTGCGAGAAGCTCATGTCTGAAACTCCTCACAAAGTTCTCGCTTTGGATGTTTACAATGACAAAATTAAGCATCTTCTGGAACCGGAAACGCTTCCCTGGAATGGCCGCATTCACTTCCACCGACTTAATATCAAAAGCGATTCGAGACTTGAAGGTCTCATCAAGATGGCAGATCTGGTAATTCGAATTTGGGATTTTCTTTTGATTTAGGTTTTTTGTTGTTGAAGTTTGTTCTTGAATTTTTTGTTTGTGAAATTTGGGTTTTTGTTAGGTGATAAATCTGGCTGCGATATGTACTCCTGCGGATTACAATACGCGTCCTCTTGATACGATTTATAGTAATTTCATTGACGCGCTTCCTGTGGTATGTGTTCTTGTGATGTGATTCAAGTTTGAATTTTTTTGTGTAATTTGTAAATTTGAATTGGGTTGTTTTTGTTTATTATTGTTCAGGTGAAGTACTGTTCTGATACTAACAAGAGGCTTATCCATTTCTCTACTTGTGAAGTGTATGGGAAAACGATTGGTAGTTTTCTTCCTAAGGATAGTCCTCTTCGTCAGGTGAGCTTTCATTTTTGTTACTATAATCTTTTTGATTTGTTTGTTTGTTTCAGATCTGTGATTCGTTAGTTATGATTTTGTGTTTGCATAATAGTTAAAGAAATGACAATTTTTGGATCTGGATGATGTTGACTTCGCACATTTTTCACTTTGCACATTTTTCACTTCCTTAGTTATATGAGATGCACATGTTGTGAACTGACATGACTTTGCAACTATATAGCACTGACTCCTCTAAACAAAAGGTGTGTATCGGCACCGACACTGACACTTGTAATTACATTTAAGTTTTTTCTTTTCAAACTAGCTGTGTTAGTGTTGTTGTCGGTGTCTGTGATTCATAACTTTGCAACCTGTTTTCTCTTAGTAATGATAGTGGACTTTTTCAATCAATTGTGCTTATCTGTTATGCTTTTTGATTTGGGAGATTAAATTGGTTTAGCTATATTGTTTTCAATGCTGTGTTAGGATCCTGCATACTACGTGCTTAAAGAAGATGTGTCTCCATGCATTTTCGGTTCAATCGAAAAGCAAAGATGGTCATATGCATGTGCTAAGCAGTTGATTGAGAGACTGGTTTATGGTGAGAGATGATTTTGCTTCTCTTTTTTGTTGGTATAGGCTGATTTTATTTTTCAATTATTGACTTATGTGATCATTGACAGCTGAGGGTGCTGAAAATGGCTTGGAGTTTACTATTGTGAGGCCCTTTAATTGGATTGGACCCAGAATGGACTTTATTCCCGGCATCGACGGTCCAAGTGAGGGTGTTCCTCGGGTTCTTGCATGCTTCAGCAATGTCGGTTGCATTTCACTTTTCGTTTTCCTTAGTTTGTTAGATATCTTAGCTGATAATTTGAATAGTTAAAATATTTTGTTCTTTTTCTGCAGAATCTTCTCAGAGGAGAGCCTCTCAAGCTTGTTGATGGTGGCGAATCCCAGAGAACCTTTGTTTACATCAAAGATGCTATTGAAGCTGTCCTATTGATGATTGTAGGTTATCTGATATTGTGTTCCTCTATTACTTATTATTATTATTATTATTATTGTCGGTTCGTCAGCTGAACATTATGCAACCTGTTTGTTGACAGGAAAACCCTGCCAGAGCCAATGGTCACATCTTCAATGTAGGCAACCCAAACAACGAGGTTACCGTTAGGCAGCTTGCCGAAATGATGGTCAAGGTAGAACAATTATTATAACTATTATTCGGTTCTAATGTTAGAATTAAACTTTGTTGTGATTCAACAAACGTTGTTGTTCTGTTCCATTCTACAGGTCTATTCAAAGGTAAGCGGAGAACAACCTCCTGAAAAATCCACAATCGATGTTAGCTCGAAAGAGTTTTATGGTGAAGGATATGATGACAGTGACAAGAGAATTCCTGACATGACCATAATCAACCAGCAGCTCGGTAAGTTTCTGTTTCGGTTTCATCCTTCGTTCATACTATTTGATCTTCAACATTTCAAGTTAATTTACATGTGAACGAATGTTGTCGTCTTTGCAGGATGGAATCCTAAGACTTCACTATGGGACCTGCTCGAATCGACACTCACCTATCAGCACAGGACATACGCAGAAGCCATCAAGAAAGTGATTGCACAACCCATTGCAAGTTAAAAGGTTTAAACAAAAACATCAACGGCAATGCCAGAAGGGTAGTGTTACATACCCAAGTACCTCACATTATATATTACTGTTTTTGAATTTTTACATATATGGTAAATTTAATGTAGAGCTTTGCACTGGTAAACACAAGTTATGGCATTTTTCATACATAAAGGAAAAGTGCCTTTTTGTCCTTTTTTTTCTTTATGTTGTTTTAGAGGTCGGTGGTCATTGTTGTCTTTCTGTCTTTCCAGTTCAGTTGTAAGTTGTAATATTCTCTTGACACTCAATAGTCATGTGCTCTAAATTATTTGTTATAAATTTATTGTATGCATTATATTTTTGCTGTTACATTCTGGCAGCAATTTGTTTTAGTGTTCTTTATTATTAATTTTGTTATCAAATTAAATTTTAAAATTATTGATTAGGAAAATGTCGGACTTAATGAAACTTAATTTTATATAATAACTTTATCTCGCAACTTAATTGTCTACCTTATAAAAGAAAATAAAGTTGAACTACAGCTGTTCCAGTCTCAAAGTAGTAGTTAACGCGTATCACAGGAATTGCCGGTGCCGTGTATTGCAATAAATTAACGCGTGAAATCTTCAATCATATAGATTTTTATTCTTTTCTAAATTATAATTACTTTTATTTTATCAATTTATCACCATCTGCATTATTTTATAAAATCAAAACACCATAAATCTAATAAATTTAAACAAATTTTAAATTTACACATCAAAATCAAACTTAAAAACTCAAAAATCTAATAAATTTCTTTTAGTAGATATTAACACAATTATGACTATATACGTATCATTTCAAATCTAAAATCATTTAAGTCTTAACATTAAACAAAAAAAAAAGTAACATTAATGAGTTACTAAACATTTAAGAAAATCATCTAAAATTAAATGCATACAAAACAAAACTGTAGTATTTTTGAAGTTGAATAACAACCAGACAAAACAGTAATTTTGAAATTGAATAACAACCAGAATGATGTTAAGGAAAGTAAATTCAATAATAATTAAATTCAATAACAACCAGACAAATTTTTAGTGCCATAGTAGTTAAATTCAAGTCAATGAAGTCACAAACAACTTAAAATAATTTTGTAACTTATTTAGTTTAATCATGTAAACATCGTTATTATCAAGTGGACTATTTTATTTTTCTCCAAGTGATTTGTCGGTCAAGTAGGCCATAATGCTTTGTCATTTGTATGTATAACGATTTAAAAAAGAAACATGTGAAAGTGATTAGTATATTTTATCAACAAAGAGATCTTAAGATTTAGATTTTTTTAAAATAAGGAATATATTTAACAAAAATACAAAAGTAATTATGAATTTTTTTAATGAAAATGACGTAGTTTATGAAACTAGTAGCATGCATGTGTCATATGATATGACGAATACTCTTGAGTTTGTACACATGTGTCATATTATATGACTTATGCATGAATCTAAGCCATATCATATGGCACTTACACCTTTTCCAATTATGCATATGCGCCATATGATGTGGCACCTTTTTTATATTTTTTTTCTTCAATTTTTTTATTAGTTAATTATACTACCCTCTTTTATATATATATATATATATATATATATATATATATATATATATATATATATATATATATATATATATATATATATATATATATATATATATATATATATATATATATATATATATATATATATATATATATATATATATATATATATATATATATATATATATATATATATATATATATATATATATAAACCATTTGTGTCTGTGTTTCTCTACACTGTCTCATTTTTCTTTGCATTACATTCTTTTTATATTTTCTTACATTTTTCAGTTAAAATGATTTCCTCTTCTTCCTCTTCGTCATTCTCATATATCTATCAGGTTCCATATCATGTGCCAATTTAATTTTCTCCTCAGTCAAACCTCCCATGAAGATTTGCCTTTAGAATACATTAACGTTAGAACATCTCAAGAGGAGTCTGATCCGCTGGTTGTATGGAGACATTCCAGAGGGTGAAAAGATCAGAAGAATTCAAAGGCTTGTTACCATGTTCAACCAAAATGGAGAAGTTCGTTTCTGGGAGAATGTTACTAATGACCAATATGTTCATACGTTGATGTATAGTTCTCAGGAATTTGTCTTGATGGTTGTAATCGCTTAGTTATGTTGTTGAATTGTTGTATTTGTTTGTTTTATTTTTTTGATTGTTTAAGCTATTGTTAATTGTTGCTGTTATGATATTAAGTTATGTTATTGTTAATTGTAATCGCTTAGTTATGCTATGAATGAAATGAAATTTATTGTTGATATAAAGAGACAAGATTACATTTGAAACTATGATGTTGTGTTTGATCCTACATTAAAATATTTTGTATGATTGTGACCGGGCTGACGACATGAACTACATAATCTGGCTATTTTGTTTGCCGTATCCATCTCCGTTCGAATACACGTGCTATTAGGGTACCTTTTTCTTTCTTCACAGACAATTTCGCCTTCGTATGCAGGAAAATAGTCATCCTTTGCTACCACCTGAAAGCTAGTGTTGTAGACATTACATAGACTACTGACTTGGTAAACAACAGACAAATAGTTAGAAGGGTCCTGGCGAGTCTTTGAACATGCTGCTATTATATGGGAGTAAGGCATACGCAGTCACACCAACGTCTATCTAGTTCTACTCGGTAGCATCCCCTAGGCCTCCCTTCTTTGTGATCCACTGGCTCAGCAACACTGAACCAACCTTTATTACAGTCAAACACTGTGACCACATATGTGTTAGCTTTGACAATTTCGTTCTTAATGAATTTCATTGAACTATCACTGAACAACTGTCCAGATTGTAAGATATAACTCCACTTTGAACGTCTGATATCAAAAAGTACCCCGAGTCTAAAATATGTTTCCCTTACCAGAGCAGTTATCGGTAGGTTTCGAATGCCATTGAATACAGAGTTCATTGATTCAACGAGGTTTGTTTTCACATGGCCCCATCATTGGCCATTGTCGTATGCCCAGGTCCATTTCTCTAGTTGAATATTGTCGATCCTTCTTAATGCATCTGCGTTTGTCAATCTGATTTTGTCACGGTAGTGTTTGAAGGAAGGCTCTATTAGTGCATACCCTGTGTTCACAACCTTCTTCTGCATCGTCTTGTCCTTGATCTCCCGCATGAAATTTTGAACGATGTGTCTTATGCAATACACATGCGATGATGGAGGATCTTGCCAGCCGTTATCAACATTTTTGTATGCACTCTCGATTGATGAATGTTTGTCAAAAATCAAACGCAAACTAGGTTGGGGAGACACGTGTCAAAAATAAAATGCAAGTTAACAAAATCATCTAAAATAAAATGCTAAATACTAGACAAAACAGTAATTTTCAAATTGAATAACAACCCAACAAAACAATAATTTTGAAATTGAATAACAACCAAAATAATGTAAAGGAAAGTAGTAAATTCAATAATAGTAATAATAAAATTAAATAACAAGACCTAGTTCTATAATGTAGTAAATTTAGCAAATTTTTTGATTCAATGATTTGATTTGATCGTTGAATATTTTAGATCACATTAGTTTTTATCTGATCAATTACATATTCGATTCTTTGACTTTGACCTTTTCAATCCGTTATCCCTTTGATTCACACCTAATCGGTTGAATCAATTTTGATTTAAAAATAATTAAGGTGTTTGTATTTATGTCAATTATTAAATATACATCTTTGTAAAATCGCTTATATTTTTCACAAGTTGGTATTCTAACAATAAATTATTTGACAAAAATAAAATAAAATTATACGTCTTAATTTCCTAACCTACAATTCTAATTTTTCTTATACTCCAAACAACAAAACAACTCTCACTTTTGTTTATCTTTTTTCCCCATTTTTTTCACTTTCATTCTCCTACCAGACAAATTTTTAGTGCCATAGTAGTTAAATTCAAGTCAATGAAGTGACAAACAACTTAAAATAATTTTGTAACTTATTTAGTTTAATTATGTAAACATTGTTATTATCAAGTGGTCTATTTTATTTTTGTCCAAGTGATTTGTCAGTCAAGTAGGCCATAATGCTTTGTCATTTGTAGGTATAGCGATTTAACAAAGAAACACGTGAAACTGATTAGAATATTTTATCAATAAAGAGATCTAAGATTTAAATTTTTTTAGAATAACTTATATATTCAACAAAAATATAAAAATAATTATATTTTAAAAAAATTTACGAAAATAACGTAGTTTCTGAAACTGGTAGCATGCATGTGTCATATGATATGACGAATGTATTTGAGTTTGTACACATGTGCCATATCATATGACTTATGCATGCATCTAAGCCATATCATATGGCACCTACACCTTTTTCAATCATACATATACGCCATATGATATGACGTTTCTTTTTATTTTTTTTTCAATTTTTTTATTAATTAATTATACTATTGTCATATCCCAAATTTTAGCCTCAAATTTTTTGATCTTTTGCACATCATTCTAGGTCAATCATATTGTATAACTAACCAATTTTTTAGCCTTTGCTTTGTTTTGATTTATTTGTGAATCAGGATTTACGTTAAGAGATTTCCAGGGTGGAAAATTAGGGTATGCCATCCACCTTTTAAGCTCTCAAAACATGGGATCAGAGGTTTTCCGTTGAGTTGGATTTTCATTGTTTAAGAGGTTGTTTCTTTCCATTATTAAACTCAAGTTTGAGGCAGAGGTGTTGGATTTTCATTCTTCATGAGCAGTTCTTATCAGAGGTTTATCAAAACATGACATCAGCTACTTTGAGTTCCTTTAAAGGTGTCAGAGATTTTGGGTTTCATCATTGGCTTAACTACAAAGATTCTGAATTAGGGTTTCTCACCCCTTGGGTTTAAGTCATACAAATGACGCTCAGTTAAATTTTGTATGAGGCAAGCAGTTTAAGTGTGTATGTGTGCAGTAGTTTGCAGTTTAAATTGGATGTGAAC